GCAGAGACAACACTGACCAAAATGTAACATCAACAGTCTGCTTGCATCTTTTCTGACTAACTCGTTTTCACTGAAAACCATAAACGTCCGTGAGCTGCACTGGATTCGCAGACTGACTAGACCAAGACAGGATTTCAGCTGGGGTGTGATGGAAGGAAAAAGAGGGAAGATAAGGTGTTTATGCAAGTTACATCCGAGACCGGTCACCACCCACCTTATCAATTCACAATTGTAGTGTGTTAAAAGCCCATTGGGTCTGTTGAGATCTTCTGAGATGGCCTGAAGAATTTCGATATATGCAGTTCAGCAGTCTCTTGATCCCTTCCACTCTCTTCCCTCCCCATAGTCCAATTTAAATCCTACCTCAGTCTGGCAATTCTACATATCTGACAAGGTGAGTTGCAGCTCATGAAAGATTCTGCCTTTTAACAAGGCTTGTTAGACGAGAAAGGAGCTACCTAAATCCTGATTTTTTTTTTTTTTTTTGCAACCATAGATTCAAATGGTGTTTCTCGTACAATGAACAGAAACTCCAAGGGTAAGTAGGATGGACAGGAATTTGGACAATTCCAATAATGGGAATTGAATTGTTCTATTCTGGATATGACTCACAAAAAAAAATGCTTTAAGAATTGTTATTCCAGACTCTGTCATGGGACACAACACAGTCAATGCAAGTTCATTTCCAACTTCACATTTCTCAGACTGATGAATTCATGAATGAGCTCTCATTGCAGTGGCATCTATCTATTTATCTATCTATCTATCTATCTATCTATCTATCTATCTATCTATCTATCTATCTATCTATAGCATCCATGTCTATTATCTCTCTTTCTGTCTATCTACATCCATCTATCTATCTATCTATCTATCTATCTATCTATCTATCTATCTATCTATCTATCATCTATCATCTCTATTTCTTTCTCTCTCACACACTATCTGTCATTTATCTCTATCTCTCTATCTATATTTATTTCTCCCTCCCTCTCTCTCATCTATCTATAGCAGGGGTGTCAAACTCACCGTGTCACATGACGTGTCGCAATGTATCACAACTTTTTTCCCATTGCCAGAGCTGTGGTGGGCACAGTTTTGGCATGACATATCCAACCCGCGGGCTGGCAGTTTGACACCCCTTATCATATCTATCTGTCATTTACATATTTCTATCAATTAACTATCTATCTGTCTGCCTGCCTGCCTGTCTATCTATATCCATCCATCCATCCATCCATCCATCTATCCATCCATCCATCCATCTATCTGTATCCTATCTATATCCATTTCTTCTTCTTCTCTCTCTCTCTCATCTAATTTATGTGCTACCACAATTACAGGATGCTTGTCAGCCAATAAAAGAAAAAAGAAAATTTAATTTAAAAGCATATAAAAATCTAGATAGTGGATCAGGCAGTACCCTGAGACAGCAGAATAGAAGAGAAAGAACTAGACAAATCATCATGGCCCGCAAATAGAAGTAGAACAATTGTGGCAGAAGAAAGCCAGGATAGTACAATAGTAATATTTGCAATCCCAAAACAACTGGAGCACCACTTGAACCCCATTGCCATTGACAAATTTGCCGTTAATCTATTGCAAAAGACAGCTTGACTTGGAACAACTTACATCCTGTATCAATACCTTTAACACCATCACACAACATCTGCCTCTCCTAATCCTTCGGAAGGCCTTGATAGGTGGACAAAAATACCAAATCCAGTCTAAACATCTGGTTGGCTGCATGACCAACCAGAACAACACTCTTTAGAATTAGTTGCTAAAATACTGAATATTAACCAACACATTCTTCATAAGCACAATGATCTATCATAACCTGTTCATAACCCTCTTGTAGCTGCATAAAGAAGTAACATTAAAAGAGAAAAAAACATGCAGGTAATTTCAGGATCACCATAAAAAAAAAAAAAACACATACTGAAACTCTTTGGTATGTATTGAGTTAAAAAAAAAGTCTCTTAGTTTGATTGGTTATCGTTTGGAAGTTAAACACTGAGATACGTAATATCCAGACATCTATACATGCAGCAGATGTTTGTGTTCCCAAGAGAGGTCTTCCTACTTTGGCTTACATGTTAACAGCTAGCATAAAAATAACACCTGTTAGACAAGGGGCGTAACAATTGCTTCTCAGATTTTATTTTTTTATTTTTTGCTACTTCAATAACTTGTTGATAGACGGCCTTGCAAGCATTGCACAGAAGGCTGGGGAAAATTCAGCATTTGCTGGACAGATGCAAACCTGAATCAGGGGTCTGGCATACACGTTTGTTCTATTTTAACAGAATCACACAGTTGGAAGGGACCTTGGAGGTCTTCTAGTCCAGTGGTTCTTAACCTGGGCAATATTGCCCCTCAGGGGGCGATTTCATTTTTCAGGGGGGCAACGGAACAAAAAGGGGTGATGTGGGGGCGAAGGAATGAAAAGGGGGCGATATGGGGGCGATGGAGCGAGAAGTTTTGGGGACACTTTTGAGACTTTTTCATACAGTGAATCGCTGTATATCTTTCATACAAAAACATCAGATCGCTCGCTATTAGTGGATTGAATTGTGTTTTCAAATGTTCCTCCAGCTCGCTTCCGTACAGAACGCCGTACATATGTGAATACGCAATGCTTATCTTCATGCGCGTTGCGCAGCAGCCTCTACCCTTTTTATATTTGTTTTTGCGTCTTAAATTTTACATGTAATTCAATCATTAAATATTACTGTTTTTCTTTTCGGGCATTTCACTTTCTTGCCATTGAATTTTGTTTTCAAAGTGGTCATTACACTTAAATAAATAAGATAATAATGAAATATATGTATCACGAAGTTTGGGAATAAAGTGACGGGTGGCACCAAAACTTTTCACACAGTTGAGATATGGGAAAAAGATTGGAAATAAATTATTTGCATCGATATGTCCTGATGACAATTTTAAAGAAAATAAAACAAGTGTTGGCATGAATTGAAGAACTATTTCCTCTGTTGTGATTGAGAGGTTATGTTGGGGGAGGGGGGCGATGACAACTTCCTCATTGGCTCAAGGGGGCGATTCGGTCAAAAAGGTTAAGAACCACTGGACTAGTCCAACCTCCTGCTCAAGCAGGAGACCCTATGTGCCATTCCAGATAAATGGTTTTCCAGTCTTTTTTAAAAAACCTCCAGGGATAGAGCATCCCACAACTTCTGGAGGCAAGCTGTTCCACCGATTAATTGTTCTTAGCTCCAGATTGGTTTTCTCCTTGGTTAGTTACCCTCCATTGCTTCTTGTCTTGCCTTCGGATGCTTTGGAGGATAGGTTGACCCCCTTGTGACAGCCCCTCAAATACTGGATCGCTGCTAACATGTCACCCCTAGTCCTTCCTTTTACAAGAACAAACATACTACGTTCCTGCAACTATTCTTCATATGTTTTAGCTTCCAAGCTAAACTTTCAGGAATGTTTAGGATTTTTTTCCCCTTTTCAGAAAACAGGGAACAATTCACTATTGTTATAAACCCCTCCTATGATGGAAGGCTTTAAAATAAGCTTTTAAAGACTGTCTGGTGCCTGATTTGTTTGGGTCTGGAAAATTGTTCCAGGTGGAAAGCAAGCAGATGGGATCTGAAGAGCAGCAAGCCATGACTCTTAAAGAATGAGAATCAAAACCCTCTTTCCCATTATGCTATGGACAATGGGTTCTTCATGTACTGATCAGGATCTTCATGTGCTATGTATAACATGGCCCAACAGCCTATCATCATCATCATCATCATCATCATCATCATCATTATTATTTTAAAAAATTAAATTAAATTAAAATGATAAACTTAAACTGCTCTGGGACTTCAGAATTCAAACAGACAAGCACCTGCAACATAACACCCCAGACTTAACAATTGTCGATAAGAAAGACAAAAAAGTCTGGATAGTGGACGTGGCAGTGCCTGGAGATAGCAGAATAGAAGAGAAAGCACTGGAGAAGATAACAAAATACAAAGACCTACAAATAGAAATAGAAAGACTGTGGCAAAAGCAAGCAAGGGTAGTACCAATAGTCATAGGCTCCTTGGGCGCAATCCCAAAACAACTGGAGCACCACTTGAACACCATTGGCATTGACAAATTTGCTATTAGTCAATTGCAAAGGCGGCCTTATTAGGAACTGCTTCCATCCTGCGACGATACCTGTAATACCATCAAACATCCACATCTGCCTATCCCAGGTCCTGGGTAAGGACTCGATAGGTAGACAAAATGCCAAATCCAGTCTGAACATCTGGCTGACTGTGCAATGATCCATAATAATAATAAAGTTGGAAGGGACCTTGGAGGTCATCGAGTCCAACCCCCTGCTCAGGCAGGAAACCCTATAGCATTTCAGACAAATGGCTGTCCAGTCTCTTCTTAAAAACTTCCAGTGTTGGAGCATTCACCACTTCTGGAGGCAGGTTGTTCCACTGGTTAATTGTTCTCACTGTCAGGAAGTTTCTCCTTCATTCTAGGTTGCTTCTCTCCTTGACTAGTTTCCATCCGTTGCTTCTTGTTCAGCCTTCAGGTGCTTTGGAGAATAGCTTGACTCCCTCTTCTTTGGGGCAGCCCCTGAGATATTGGAATACTTCTATCCTCATCCTTCTCTTCATTAAACTAGACAGACCCAATTCCAGCAACTGTTCCTTATACGTTTTAGCCTCCAGTCCCCTAATCATCTTTGTTGCTCTTCTCTGCACTCTTTCTAGAGTTACCTCCTGAAAAAGCATCTTTGGGAGAACTATGACCTGGATGGCGGAGAATCTCCATAGACAATTGACCACAAACTATTGTATGGGTATATCACACGTGTCAAGTGTGAATTACTGATCATAATAGGAGGCAAGATAAAAAAAAAAAAAACCTGGGTCGTCATGAAACTCAGCCCAGTGTCCTTATCCCGAGGAGATTATTGATATCTGGACTTTGGGGGAAGAAAAAATAAGACTTTCAAGAAAGCAGGCTGATGTGAAACTCACCACATGTTTTAATTGAGCAAAATTCCCAGGGGGTGTTTGGGTCAAGAGTGTAACACCACGGCCTCGGTTTACCATCCGGATTGCGGCAATAGTTATCATCAAAGCCTTTGTCGGGGTATCTGCAAAACATACCGACAAGCACGTTAACTTTGAGGCAGCTCCCAGGAAGGGCCAAGCATATGCAAGATACATTCCCCCATGCCGTCCCATCTAGGGAAGAATCCAAACAGGAGCTAATGAATGACTAGGGAAGCAGGAGAGATATGTCCATCAAGCAGAAGTCCTATCTTAACTGGGACCTCTTTTGCTAGGCTGTAGACCATCCGGTGGGGTCAATCTGCTAATTGGGTGATTTCTCCCCATTAGGCTCCCTTCTGACACAACAGCCTTAATTGGCTTCCTTCGGGGATGGCTCAATTAAGTGAGAGCAATGTAAACATTTCATGGGATGGCCGATTCATTAAGCCAAGGGCTTCTCTAGTTCAATAGCCCTGGGTTCAAAGCTATTTCCAACAAACCGGGCATCTATTTTTAGAAGCCAGCGTAATTTTGAGGCCATGCCCTCATTTCCAGCATGGTAGGGGACAAGTCAAGAAGAAATTAAATTTCCCTTTGCCCTCCTTTATCTTTTTTTTTTTTTTCCTCTCCCCTGCTTCTAATTACTTTCAAATGCCCTTTTCCTAGTTATTCGTCAAGGAAATCAAGAAGTCGTGGGCTTACAAAGCAATGGTGAACTTCTTGAATGAATACTTTTTCATTCTTCATTTAGAACTCCTTGTTTGTTGGTTTTACGTTTATTACTTCTGCTTCTGCTGGCAGGGGAAAGTTGGGCTGGATTTAAAGGAAGGCACAACACAGCTACCTTTGACTGGAGCCCTTTGAGAAGTTCTACACATTTCTAGGCATGTGGTCCTCCCTGGAAGATTAAAAACCTAATTTATAATTGCCCAAGGGACAAAGTTCTTTTTATCCTCAAGGGTCTTTTAAAAAAAATCTCTTCCACAAATTTGCTTGAACACTGCAGGCTTCTGTTCCTTTAAGAGATGAGATTCAGCATGATTTTTCCCTTGTAACCAAACCAGGAGAACATGGTTTCCTTTGATTGGAACTCTGTGGAATGGCTTGCCTCCAGATGTTGTGGGTGCTCCATCACTGGAAGTTTCTAAGAGATTGGACAGTTATTTGTCTGGAATTGTGTAGAGCAGTGGTTCTCAACCTGTGGGTCGGGACCCCATTTGGGGTCGAACGACCATTTCACTCTTGAATAGAGTCTAATTCTATTGGCTTTCAAAAGCCAATAGGAATTGTCCAGGCTGTCTCTGCCCTGCTGAGCCCGCCAAAAGTCCCATTTTGCAAACGGTGCTGCACCAGTTGAGTAGTCCTCGACTTACGACCGGTTGAGTAGTCCTCGACTTACGACCGGTTGGGGGTCACGGCATTAAAAAGGTTGAAAACCACTGCACTAAACAAACTATTGTAAATCCAAGAACTAGCTGTACTGTTGTGATGTCTGTTCTCCAGACCACTGAAATGGGTGCTGTTCTTTCCTTTCGTGAATAATAATACATCTTTATTAACTTTATATTCCCAATCCTGCTTCCGCTTTCACTAAACCAAACTCTGTACTCATACAAGCAGGAGTGTTAACTGAAGGTGCCTGCAGCACAATATATAACATTCTCAGATTTGGGGTGTGTGTGTGCGTGTGTGTGTGAGAGGTTTGGTTTCATCCAAATCTGCAGATCCCAGTGATGTCACCAATAGACTTGGAGGACACAAGGTCAACGCACAACCCAGCTTCCCCTGTCCAGCTCTGTCCTCAATGACGTATTTCCCTCCCCCCCCCCAAAAAAAAATCTCTTTCCACAGATGATTCTTCCCTAATCTAATCCAGCAAGTTCTACTTACCGACTTTGCAATTCAACAGCAAAGCTTTGATCGGAGGTTTCTTTTTAATCAGCCTTATGCTAAGGTCAGCCCTGTTCAGCCAATGTGGTCGAGGGCAAGCAATTCTTTGCCCTGAGGGGTCCTGGGTGCTCTCTGAGCTTGGTTGTGTTGTTGCAGACGTTTCATTACCCAAACTAGGTAACATCATCAGTGCTAGAAGGGAGTAGGGTTTGTGGAATGATGGAGGAGGAGGAGGAGGAGGAGGAGGACTGTGGAGTCCTTGGTGCTCTCTGAACATGGTTGTTTCCTTGCAGACGTTTCATTACCAAACTAGGTAACATCATCAGTGCTAGAAGGGAGTAGGGTTTGTGGAGAGGAGGAGGAGGAGGAGGAGGAGGAGGAGGAGGACGACGACTGTGGGCTCCTTGTGCTCTGAGCGTGGTTGTTTCCTTGCAGACGTTTCATTACCCAAACTCATTAGCATCAACAGTGCTGATGGGGCTAGCCCTGATGATGTTACATGGTTGGGTAATGAGACATCTGCCAGAAAATAACTAAGCTCGGACAGTACCCCCACAATTCTCCTCCTCTTCCCCCTCCCCTTCCCTTTTCCTTCTATCTCCTCCTCCTCTTCTTCCTTCCTTTCCTCCTCCTCTTCCCCTTCTCCTTCTAACTCCTCCTTCTCCACTTCCTGCCCCTCCTCTTCCTCTCCACAAACCTCACTCCTTTCTAGAACTGATGATGTTCCCTAAATGGGTCATGAAACATCTGCAGGAAAATATCCAAGACTTCTCCTCCTCCTCCTCCTCCTCTTCCTCCTCCTCCCCCTTTTTCCTTCTATCTCCTCCTCTTTCTCCTTCCCTTCCTCCTCCTCCTCCTCCTCCTCCTCTCTCTTCTCCTTTCATCTCCTTTCCCTCCTACCCCTACTCCTCTCCACAAACCTCACTCCTTTTTAGAACTGATGAGGTTACCTAGAGGGGTCACGAAACATCTGCAGGAAAACAGGACTCCTAAACTCTACTCTGCCTCTACTATCACTGACTCTGACTTTGGCCTTCCTGTAGCCACTCCTTAACACCCATTCTGCTTTTGAAGTAGGTGGGGGGGGTAGGAATAAATAAATAAATACAATAAAATAAATAAAGATTACACCCTTTGGCTGGAACCTCTTGCAACTTTCCTAAGCAGAGAACCCAATATTTGACAGGATGTAAAGCTGAACTATTTCTGTAGAGATTTGTGTGGAAAGATGAAGGTCATTAATAATAAAGAGTTATTTCGGCAACTCTGATAGAGTGCTTCTTTCAAGTTATTTTTAAGCCCCCCCCCCCTCCTGAAACCTGTCTGTGAATACTCTCTTTCCCTCCCTTTATTTTATTCAGATCCAGCTATCTGAATAATAATTGGCCTTGCTGCCTTTAATTAGGCGCTTCGTGAGTGCCAGCTTAAAAGAGATGTCTTTCTGGTATATAATTCATATTAACTGAAAATCTTTTAAGATGGAGGCCCAGGGGATGCTTCTCCTCAAATTCACCAAGAGAAATGGTATCATACAAGATTCAGCAAGGGACGGAGTTCATGGATCTTATGAGATGAGACTAACAATCAATTAGTAAAATAACTAAAAAAAAGCACTTTTGGGACAGCCATGAGCTGGATAGACTGAGAATCTCCATATAGACATTTATATAATCCAAAGAACATTTTCATTGGTCCCAGTTATTGGATCGGTTTATTGATCAGTGTTCAATTTGACGCATCATTTCCTAACAGGCTTTTTCTACAAAGCTTCATTGATGCTTAATAAGCATCCTTTATAGATTCTGCGGAAGCTAATTAAAGTTTGCTATATGTATGTTATTTTCTCTTTTCCTTCTTCACTGGGAAGAATTCATTTGGGTAATTGTACATATCTATAGAGCTACATTTAATAATAATAATAATAATAATAATACCTACAAATAGAAATAGAAAGACTGTGGCAAAAGCAAGCAAGGGTAGTACCAATAGTGATAGGCTCCTTGGGTACAATCCCAAAACAACTGGAGCACCACTTGAACACCATTGGCATTGACAAATTCGCTATTAGTCAATTGCAAAAGGTGGCCTTACTAGGAACTGCTTCCATCCTGCGACAATATCTGTAATACCATCAAACATCCACATCTGCCTATCCCAGGTCCTGGGTAAGGACGATAGGTAGACAAAATGCCAAATCCAGTCTGAACATCTGGCTGACTGTGCAATGATCAATAATAATAATAATAATAATAATAATAATAATAATAATAATAATAATAATAATAATAATAATGTTGAAAGGGACCTTGGAGGTCATCGAGTCCAACCCTATACCATTTCAGACAAATGGCTGTCCAGTCTCCTCTTAAAAACTTTCAGTGTTGGAGCATCCGTAGCTTCTGGAGGCAGGTTGTTCCACTGATTAATTGTTCTGTCAGGAAGTTTCTCCTTAGTTCTAGGTTGCTTCTCTCTTTGGTCAGTTTCCATCCATTGCTTCTTGTCCTGCCTTAGGCACTTTGGAGAATAGCTTGACTCTCTCTTCTTTGTGGCAGCTCCTGAGATATTGGAAGACTGCTATCATGTCCCCCCCCCTCGTCCGTCTCTTCATTAAACTAGACATACCCAATTCCAGCAACCGTTCTTTGTATGTTTTAGCCTCCAGTCCTCTGATCATCTTTGTTGCTCTTCTCTGTACTCTTTCTAGAGTCTCAACATCTTTTTTTATATCGTGGTGACCAAAGCTAAAAACCTGATAAAGATGAACTTGTCCTCATCTGCGCTCATGTGATACTCCGTTACTTTAATTCCCTACAATGGCTAGGTGCTATTGGTGCAAAAATCAAACATCATTCTGTTTTACAGACTTATACAAATGAAAAAAAAAAAGAATTAGCATGTTTACTTTTCTGGACGAAAAGGATGTCTGTGTGGTCTCTGAAGGTCCCAACGTTGACATTCTTTGCCTGTTTCGGTATGATCCATTGGACCTCTATAGCCTTCTCCATTGCACGTCATGCACTCAACTGAAACACAAAAAATATAAGAACCTCATTAAGATGGTTGCACTACAATATTTTATTTCAACCACCAGAAACAGTCAGTTGCAATGCATAGATTCACAGATGTTTCTATAGACTCCAGACTAGAGTTATCACTCAATTTTGACTCGAAGGTCAAGATTTTAATTTGAAGAATTGAAACTTAAACGATCAAGGGGAGTGCACAAAACATAGATTTGAAGAAAGTAATTAATTTCATTTTAGGGTGCTTTTCCACATTTGTTACTTCTTCTAGAATCATCCAACCACTGTTGTATCAACATAACAGAAAGAGGATGCCAGTACAGTGCATTTTATATCCATAGAGATATAATAGTCATTAAGCTTTTATGATAGTTTTGGGAGTTTAAAGGATAAAAGGGAATGGAAGGGAAGGGAAGGGAAGAGAAGAGAAGAGAAGAGAAGAAAAGAGAAGAAAAGAGGAAGGAAGGGGAGAGAAGAAGAAGAAGAAGAAGAAGAAGAAGAAGGAGAAGGAGAAGGAGAAGGAGAAGGAGAAGGAGAAGGAGAAGGAGGAGAAGGAGAAGGAGAAGGAGAAGAAGAAGAAGAAGAAGAAGAAGAAGAAGAAGAAGAAGAAGAAGAAGAAGAAGAAGAAGAAGAAGAAGAAGAAGAAGAAGAAGAAGAAGAAGAAGAAGAAGAAAGAGGAGGAGGAGGAGAAGTAGAAGAAGAAGAGGAGGAGGAGGAGGAGGAGGAAGAGGAAGAGGAAGAGGAGGGTATTTTATTTATATGTAAAGTCTTTAAGCCCAATTAAGGCAATTTTAGAAAAGAGCTTCCAATTTTGAATATCAATCCCACCGTTCCAAAATAACATTGTTCTATTATCAACATATTTTCTGTGGGTACTCATACCTCCTTTGCTCACACAAGAGATGGAAAAGGCAAAAGAAACTGACCACCAGGTTAGTTCCTTATGATTCTTACAAACTTATTATTCAACTATATGGCATAATTTAAACTTAGAAAGTGATATGGGGGTGGTAGAGATGTGGAAAGAAAATTAAAAGCAGAATGGGGGGTGAGTAAACTGCTAACCTAATATTCATGCCACCCAACATCTGGTGATGTTTTAACATCTGAGATCAGGCAATACCAATAGCCTCAGCGTTACCTTCGGAGCAGAGGGGAATCGCACAAACTTCGTGACGTATTTCTGGATTGCTGGTAAAACACCAAGGGCCACCTTCTTCTCCTCGTGGATTCCGGCAATAGTTCCTTTGAAGATCTTTACCTCGATAGCTCGAAGGTAAAAAGCTAGTTTTAAAATGATAATCATTACAGTATAAGAGCATGCACATTTGACTGTAAGCCTTTCCAACTTCGTGAATTAACTGTCTGATTATGGGCTCCCTTGCCCCATAGATACGCGAGCATGAAAAACCTTTCTAGATTGAGACATTCCCAAAATGAAATATTTCATCTGTCCTCTCTGCAAGGGTCTAGGGAAGGGGTCTTCAAACTTGGCCCTTTCATGACTTGTGGACTTCAACTCCCAGACTTCCTGAGCCAGCATGGGGGAACTATGGCCTCTTCATGACTTGTGGACTTCCCAGAATTCCTCAGCCAGCATGGGGGAACTATGGCCTCTTCATGACTTGGGGACTTCAACTCCCAGAATTCCTCAGCCAGCATGGGGGAACTATAGCTCTTTCATGACTTGTGGACTTCAACACCCAGAATCCCTCAGCCAGTGTGCCTGGCTGAGGAATTCTGGGAGTTGAAGTCCACAAGTCATAAAAGGGCCAAGTTTGAAGACCCCTGGTCTAGGAACAACTCACTGTGGCAACTCTCCATGGCCAACTCACTGCGAGACAACTAGCCGCAGGACAAAAGTTACACTAATCCTTAAGAAGTGGTGAAATAGAATCATTAGAGAAAGGATGCTAAAGGAGGGACAAGATGAAATAGGAATGACAAAAATTAAAATGTTTTTTTTTAATTATTTTAAATAATTATTTCCAAAGCTGGATTTACTTGAAAATTCACTATTTTTCTCAAATGGGTGTCTTACAATACCCTCCTGAATGATACGCTTGGCTGTGTAGTGCGGTCCATCACCATTTTCTGTGGTTATTTCGTAAATTCTAAACCAAAGGAAGCTCCAGGGAAGTTCTTTTGATAGATAATTCCACTTCATGTTGACATTCAACTGTGGTCTGCTCTTGTAGAGCAGAGTTCTCGACTTACCATAATTTAGTGACTGTTCGAACTTACAACAGTACTGAAAAGAGTAACTTAGGATAGCTTTTCACACTTACGACTGGCACATCTCCATACTTATGTGATCAAAATTCAGACACTTGGCAACTGACTCGTATTTATGTCAGTCAGGGTGTCCCAGGATCATGTGATCCCCTTTTGCGATCTTCTGACAAGCTATGGGTTGTCACTTAACAACCAGGATTACCAACTTACCAACTGCAATGATTCACTTAGCAACTGCAGAAAGGAAGGTTGTAAAATGGGGAGAAAAATTCACTGAACAAATGTCTCACTTAGCAACAGAGCTTTTGGGCTAAAATTGTGGTCGTAAGTCGAGGACTGCTTGTATTAGGGGATATCCTTCTCCACATCTCAGCAAAATCTCCCAGGCTAGAGAAGTTCGTAGCAAACACGGCAATTATTTATTTTTTATTTTTATTTTTTTTATTATTTTTAAAATTTATAAGCCGCCCCACTCCCGGAGGACTCTGGGCAGCTTACAAGAAAAACACCATAAAACATGACAAAACAAACAGTACAATAACAGTCATCCAGGGGTCAGATTTTATAAACCCCAGGCCTGCCAGAAAAGCCAGGTCTTAAGCAGCTTACGGAAAATCAAGAGGGTGGGAGCGTCCTAATCTCCAGGGGGAGCTGGTTCCAAAATGTAACATGGGTGTATCGAGGAACACCCACTATCACTCGCGCGGCTGCATTCTGGACCAACTGTAGTCTCCGAATACTTTTCAAGGGTAGCCCCATGTAGAGCGCGTTGCAGTAGTCCAGATTATTCTAAATGTACCATTGTCCTTCAGCCTTGCCCAGAAAGACTGCAATAAACTTATCTAAAGCAACAAGGACCAATTGTAAGTCACCTTTTTCAAAGTCGTTGTAACTTCAGCGAAGGGCTTAAGTCGAGAACTTCCTGTGTGTTCCTCTTTTCATGCCGTGAAACACATGTTTGTCAGTTCATCAAAGCAAGGAGGTTTCTACCACACTCAAACACATCCATTTGTTGTTGTTAGTTGCAAAGTCGTGTCTGACCCATCGCGACCCCATGGACAACGTTCCTCCAGACCTTCCTGTCCTCTACCATCTTCTGGAGTCCATTTAAGCTCATACCTACTGCTTCAGGGACTCCATCCAGCCACCTCATTCTCTGTCGTCCCCTTCTTCTATTGCCCTCCATCTTTCCCAGCATTAGGTCCTTCTCCAGTGAGTCCTTCCTTCTCGTTAGGTGGCCAAAGTACTTGAGTTTCAACTTCAGGATCTGGCCTTCTAAAAAGCAGTCAGGGTGGATCTCCTCTAGGACTGACCGGTTTGATCGCCTTGTGGTCCAGGGGACTCACAGGAGTCTTCTCCAGCACCAGAGTTCAAAGGCCTCAATTCTTTGGCGCTCAGCCTTTCTTATGGTCCATCTTTCACAGCCATACATTGCAACTGGGAAAACCATGGCCTGGACTATACGTACTTTTGTTGGCAGGGTGACACATCCACAGAGGTGTCCAAAAAGGCAAGAAAAATGGCCGTCTTCAAGGGATTGTCATCTTGACTTTTTACACCCATTCTCCCTGCAGATGCCTGTGATCCTATTCCATGGATTTAGCTAATCAGAGAATCTGCCCTGGCTGGAAAAGGCCGGGCTGAGCCTGCCAATCTTACCTGTGTTCGTGAGGTATGGTCGAATTCCAGGCTTGGCACTCGATCCCACTTTTTGTGACCGATATATTTCCCCTGTAGGTTGCTCCTTTGCCAATGATACAATTTCGGATGTAGTCTGTTAAAAGTAAGCGTAACAAAGACAGCTGATTGATACCTTCAAAAGTCTGTTTCGTTCAAATGTCTGTGGATGTTACCTATTGGGTAATGAAACATCTGCAAGAAAACTCTTACTACTACTCCTTTCTCCTCCTTCTCCTCCTCCTTTCTCCTCCTCCTTTCCCTTCTTTCTCCTCCTCTCCCCTTCTCCTCCTCCTCCTCCTCCTTTCTCCTCCTTTCCCCTCTTTCTCCTCTTCCTTCTCCTCCTCCTCCTCTTTTCTCCTCCTCCTCCTCCCTCCTCCTTTCCCCTTTCTCCTCCTCTTTCCTTCTTCTCCTTCCTCCTCCTCCCACCTCCTGCTCCTTCCTCCTCTTCCCTCCTCTTCCTTTCCCCTCTTTCTCCTCCTCTTCCCTTCTCCTCCTCCTCCTCCTCCTCTCTCCTCCTCCCACCTCCTGCTCCTTCCTCCTGCTCCTTCGTCCTCTTCCCTCCTCCTCTTCCTTTCTCCTCCTCCTCTTCCCTCCTCCTTTCCCCTCCTTCTCTCTCCTCCTCCCACCTCCTGCTCCTTCCTCCTGCTCCTTTCTCTTCTCTCCTCCTTCTCCTTTCTCCTCCTCCCTCCTCCTTTCCCTCTTTCTCCTCCCCTTCTCCTTCTCTCTCCTCCTCCCACCTCCTGCTCCTTCCTCCTGCTCCTTCCTCCTGCTCCTTCCTCTTCTCTCCTCCTTCTCCTTTCTCCTCCTCCCTCCTCCTTTCCCTCTTTCTCCTCCCCTTCTCCTTCTCTCTCCTCCTCCCACATCCTGCTCCTTCCTCCTGCTCCTTCCTCCTCTTCCCTCCTCCTCTTCCTTTCTCCTCCTCCTCTTCCCTCCTCCTTTCCCCTCCTTCTCTCTCCTCCTCCCACCTCCTGCTCCTTCCTCCTGCTCCTTTCTCTTCTCTCCTCCTTCTCCTTTCTCCTCCTCCCTCCTCCTTTCCCTCTTTCTCCTCCCCTTCTCCTTCTCTCTCCTCCTCCCACATCCTGCTCCTTCCTCCTGCTCCTTCCTCTTCCCTCCTCCTCCTCCTTTCTCCTCCTCTCCTCCCTTTTCCTTTCTCTCTTTCTCCTCCCTTTCTCCTCCTCCTCCTCCCACCTCTTGCTCCTTTCTCCTCTTCCCCTTTCTCCTCCTCTTCCCTTCTCCTCCTTCTCCTCCCCTCCTCCCACCTCCTGCTCCTTCCTCCTGCTCCCCTCCTCCTCCTCCACCACCACCAAGCTTAGAGAACCCCAAGGACCCCACAGTTCCACCCCGTGCTACCAATATTCTCTTCCCATGATGGAATGAAAGATGCTTCAATAGAAAGACTGAAAACCCTCATCCTCTTCCACCTCATCCGTAACCCACAGTTATGACCTGGTCCCACCTGCTCTGCATAATCACAGGAAACCCTTGTCCAACCCCCCCCCCCAAAAAATCGCCTTAGCTCCGCAGCATGGCTAATCCAGGTTAGCCACTTACCTTTCTTTTCGTAGAGAACGAAGGCGTTGTCATGTTTCTTCCTGACTCCATTTTCTAGGCTCGTAAAAGATAACCAGTGGCAACGTTTGTCTGTTTTGTCAAACGCGAAAGCCCTGGATAGAAAAAAATAAAAAAATAAAATCAATCGAACAGTTAACTTTTACTGGGATACATGGTTTTCGTTACCACATAATGAGATGGGAGAAAATATCAGAGATTAGGTAGAATTACTATAACTTCACATAATTCTCTTCTGCCTCCTCTTCCTCCTCCCCCTCTTCCTCTTTTTCTTCATCTTCTGCTTCCTCTTCTTTTTCTTCCTTCAAGAAAACTAACACTGGCAGTGAAAGTCTACTTTCATTACAATCTGTAGGACAGTTTTTAATCTTAGCAGACCAGTAAGACTTGGCTATGTTCAAAATATCTGGAGAGTTTACAAGGCACCTGAGATGCTTTGAACAAGCTTCAGATCCATCGTAGCTTTGCTCAGCCGACGATAGGGATCCGAAGTGTATTTTCTTTGAATGCAAAGATGTTGTACCTAATAGACTGAGAAAACACAACTTGAAGAATGTAAACGAGCCTTTTCTTTGGGCTTCACTCCAGCTGGACCCAGGAGGAAAGACTGAGAAGCTGCCTGAGAATTTAATTTATGAGCAGGGGAGGTCTTGGTGATCTATCATTGGGAGTTTTGACTCTGATTTCGAAAATGATCACATGGAAAGGAAGTAGGGTTTTTTTTTTAAAGAAAAAAAAGAAAGAAAAAATCTGCAGAAGAGTAAGCTGTGTGGGAGTTGAAAATGTTACCGATAATTGGTAGAGTCTTATTATTCTTCACTTCTTCTGAGTCTCAACCAATTAAGTATCAGTTACATCACAAACAACTTCTAGACGTAGCCCAGAATCTGTCATACTCAAGAAAGTTTGAGAATCTCAAGCTTTTTATCCACCCCCTCATGAAGTCAATACTCTAAGCAGAAAGTATTTGTTACTTCCACAAAGCTATAGGCTTTGTTTTCATTTTTTAACCATTAAATGCACGAAAACCCCAACTCTCTAACAATCAATGCAAGGGAAAAAAACATTGCTTAAGGATCTTGAAATCCCAATTCTTCAATCCTTCCTGTTTGGGAATATGTGTGTCTGCACACAGGCTCAGTTGCTTCTTCTTAAAATGAATCCCCCCCTTTTTTTAGTTGAATTGGTTACTTCCTTCCGCTGTCCTGACCACTTTCTACAGGGGGACGATCGAGAGCATCCTGTCATACAGCATCACAGTCTGGTTTGGAAGCATCCCTGCTTCAGACAGGAAGATGGTGCAGAGAGTGGTGAGGATGATGGAAAAGATCATTGGCAGTTCCCTCCCTCCCATCCAGGACATAGCACAGAAGCGTTGCTTGAGCAGGGTCTGTAAGATCATCTAGGACACTACACATCCTCTTCACGACCTGTTTTCCTTGTTACCTTCTGGGAGGGGGGGGGGGCTCCATGGTATCCGAAGCAGAACATCCAGATTCAGCCATAGTTTCATTCCATACAGCATTAACCTTGTGAACTCTCAAGCTTCCTCCTTCCGTTATATATTCAGGATGGACAGTATTTAATATTTATTTGTTATGTATATGTGGGGGTGTGGGTCTATACATATGTTGTACATAGTATGTTTTAGGTGTGTGTTATGTATGTGTTTCACTTTGAGAGCGGGCAACTAAATTTCATTTTTGATGGGTGCCACTGTGCCCACAGTAAAAAAAATGACAATAAAGATTATCTTATCTTATCTATCTACTTCAAGCCAGAAGTAATCTGAACTCCCATGAATTAAAAAGAAGTTGGTTCAGCGGGGATTTGTATTATCCATGACTATAGGCAAAGAAAAGAACAGGCAGGTATCAGTGGAATCTGCTTCCCACAGCGGTGGGTGCTCCATCGCTGGAGGTTTTCAAGGAAAGTTTGGACAATTGTCTGAGATAGTGTGAAGTATCCTGCCTTTGACTGGAGGTTGGATTAGAAGACCTCCAAGGTTCCTATGATTCTAGGACTTCCTATGTTACAAAAATATGCCTAAGAAAACACAAATACACAAAGATGCCATTGATCTGGTCAAGGTCTTGAAAACCCTTCATTCTTGTCATCTCTGAGTTTTAAGTTCAGAATCTTGGATTATTTCTCCGATTCTAGTTTTCCAGTTAAGTTCAGAACAATACAAAGATGATAACAATCATAAAAGAGCCGAGGTGGTGCAGCAGTTAGAGTGCAGTACTGCAGGCCACTTTAGCTGACTGTGTTCAGCAGGTCAGCGGTTCAAATCTCACCGGCTCAAGGTTGACTCAGCCTTCCATCCTTCCGAGGTAGGTAAAATGAGGACCCAGATTGTTGGGGGCAATGTAAATATATATATACATTGCTTACTGGTGTACACCACTTAGAGAGTGCTTGCACTTAAAGCGGTATATAAGTCTCATTCATAAATAAATAAATAAATGCAGATAGAACCGAAGGACTTAAGAGCAATGGGCCTCTTTAGAAGTTATCTCCACTTGGCTTCTGGACTGCACTCAGGAAAAAAAGGGTCTAGGGCAATTCACTGTGGTCAACTCACTCTGGCCATCTTGCCATGGCCAACTCACCATGGCCAACTCATCAAGGCCATCTTGCCATGGCCAACTCATCAACGCCATCTTGCCATGGCCAGCTCACCATGGTCATCTTACCCTGGCCAACTCACTATGGCCATCTTGCCATGGCTAACTCACCATGGTCATCTTGCTGTGACCATCTAGCCATGGCCATAACTTACTGCAGGACAACTCATCACTGCCAATTCATCATGGGAAAACTTACCACAGGAGAAATTCAACATGATAAAATGTTATCCCCCCACTGTTTCTTCAACGTTATCTTCATTTTTTGTCCCTTTCCCCCAAAAAAGGAAACATTGTCTGAGAAACAATGGCGGATAACATTTATCATGTTGAGTTATCCTGCGTGGAATTGTCCCATGGTGAGTTGGCCATGACAATATGGCTGCGTTGAGTTGGCCACAGAGAGTTGTGCCGTTCCGGAGGGGGGGAGATAGCTTTGTACCATCCATCACCAGTAAGGGATCTGAAAACAAAGTCCAAGTCACACAAATGTCTAATATTGGCTGCCTGCTTCTCCTGAAACCCTCTGCTAAAAAGCAGACCCATCAGAGTGCAAAATTCCTTACTTGCAAATGAATAAAAGTCCTTTACTTCGGTTGCATCTCTTCGCACACTGTTCCGTCGTATTTAGCAGCTTGGTTTTCACTTTCAGTGCCTTGTCTGTCCTTATTAACGAGGTTTCCGCTGTTTTCTTGTAGTCATGAAGGGGGTTTCTTTTCCCTTTGTTTTCTGCAAAAGGAACCAACAAACACATCGGTCCATTTTGTCCTTCCAAGGCAGTCAACCTGCTAAGGAGAACTATATAATAAAAGTAGCGCTCGACTTACCGCACAACACTCATTTAGCAATTGTTCGAAGTTACAATGGCACTTCAGAATGTGACCTACAGCCAGTCCTTCCACTTACATCCAATGCAGCATCCCCCACAGTTGTGTGTGGGATCAAAATTTGGGTGCATGGCAATTGGCCTGTACATGCACTAACTGTAGGTAGGTAGGTAGTTACAAAGGCACCCCCCAAAAGTGACTTATGACCATTTTCCACACTTATGACTTGCAGCATCCCCATGGTCACTTGTCTATGGAGATTCTCAGTCAGGAATATGAAGGGATTTCATATGAAATCTGTATGAACGGATTGCCAGACTAGACTGCACTCCAGTTTGAGATGCAGACAACACAGACTCATCCCCAACACCGGCGCCTGTCTTCCACCGTGAAGGGACACAGGGCAGAAAATATACTGCAACCATGAAGTCTCCACACCCATTTGCACTACTCAGGTGACCCTGAGGACACAGGTAAACCTCCAAGGGGCCTTAACGACTCTCCAAAAGAATGCAAATGACCAGCTCTCTGCAAGGAGTATAAATCCTTCCATTCCCCACCATCCAGTCAGAGCTGAAGAAGCTTCTTGGATGAGAAGCGAAACGTCTTCAAGAAAAAAACAAGGAAGTCCAGTTGTCTTCTGAAAAAAAGCATCTTTGGGACAACCAGGATCTGGATGACTGAGAATCTCCATGGACATTTAGCCATGCCCTTTGGGAGGAAAACCCTTCAAATGGTGAGGGAGCGTGATCGGATTTCCAGAAAAGGTTGCAGTATTCCAGTATTTGAGGGGCCACCACCAAGAAGAAGGGGTCAATTTATTTTCCAAAGCATCAGAAGGCAAGACAAGAGACAACGGATGGAAACCAATCAAGGAGAGAAGCAACCTGGAACTAAGGAGAAACCTCTTAATAATGAGAACGATTAATCAGTGGAACGCTTTGCCTCCAGAAGTTGTGGGTGCTCCAACACTGGAGGCTTTGAAGAAGAGACTGGACAGCCACCAGTCTGAAATGGTAGAGGGTCTCCTGCTGGAGCAGGGGGCTGGACTAGAAGACCTCCAAGGTCCCTTCCAATCTGATTGATTGATTGAAAAACAAAGAAAGTCCAGTTGCCTCTTGAAAAAGCGCCTTTGGGATTTCGGTTCAATGGCTTTTCATACCAGCAGTTTTTTCTGCAGACTGCCTACTTCAGAGGACTGGTATCTCCCCATGTCAACCCACTGTTTTGTCTCTGTAAGCTAGAGGAGACCATAAGATGCCATACACAACCAGTGTGCCTGCCCAGCCCAGCATTCTCAGATCTTTCTGGCCAGCTTATCTCACTTCCCTTGCATCCCATGGATGAAAAACACAGCACCATGCAAAAACATCTCAGGATCTGGAGATTCTCAGGCATCCAGATCATGATTGTCCCAAAGGTGCTTTTTTTTACAAAAGTCAATTAAAAAAAATATGTTTTTTTTCCTTGAAGACCTTTCTCTTCCCATTCAAGAAGCTTCTTCAGTTCTGATGGAATGGTGGTGAATTTTAAAGCAGAACTGAAGAAGCTTCTTGGATGGGAAGCAAAAAAAAAAAAGTCCAGTTGCCTTTTGGACAAAAAAAAAAAAGCATCCTTGGGATTCTTCAGTATCATCTCAACATAGCCTTTCAGATAAAAGAGTAGAACACTAGGGACTTACTTGATGGATGCTTGATGGAAAATATATGTTTAAGTTGGAAAGAAATCCTCCAATAGAGGTTCTATGTCCACAAATATTTGTTAGACAAATATTAGCTTAAGTATGAGATAAATAGACATTAAGAGAAAAAGAGAGGAAGTATTTGATGTTGAAACAAGAGAAAATTTGGTTACTAAATTTAAGATGTTTGGAAATTATTAGAAAATAAGAATGCATTATACTGTATTATCAATTAGTTGATGTAAGATGGTGAGAAATAGAATATATCCAAATTAAAAAAAAAAAGAATTAAGTCTGTCAATGTAAATGTAACTAATTGCTATCAGTAAAAATACTCAGAATTTGGTGGGAGAAATAAACTAAAATAAGGACTGTAACAGGATTGATGATAAGGCAATCCAAATGAATGGAAAGAAAAGAAATGTATTAATATGATGATTTTTTTAGGAATATTGGAAAAAATATATACTAAATTGTCAGTTATTAAAACAATAAGAATTGTATTTAACGCAATGTTTGCAAAAAAGGATGTTTTTAGGGAAAGAGGAAAGTAAACAAAATTAATATATGAAATACAGACTATAGAAATTAATTGTTAAGGACTGTTTTTACAAATGTAACAAAGACACTACACTGTTTACCAACTACTGAATGACTTATGTTTGTGTAAAAAACTAATAAAAATTATAATAATAAAAAATAGAATATATCCAAATAGATAAGATGTGTATTCTGAATATTAGACTTTGTGATGAATTGTGATAAGGGGAACTTTGGTTACTTAAAATTTGGAAATTATAAATACTAAATGTTAAAGTTAAACATTAGCGGGAAATTAAAAATCGGGGAAAACTAATTAGGATATTGATTGTCTAAAGACTGAATGTCAAAATAATAAGGATATGTATAAGCCAAAATTATTGATAAATGTAAGAATATCATTTTTATTTAATCGATTTAATAAAAAGTGTAGTAGTTTAGACAGGAGACAGTGAATACTGAGGGGAAAAGAGAAGAAAAATTTGATATAGTAGCTTGAGACTTGAACTGATACTTCTATGTTATTGTATTATCAATTGGCCCAGCCACCACGTTGCTTTTTGAATACTTAAATGTAAAACCAGAAAATCAATAAAATATTTATAAAAAAAAACATATTTGTTAGACAATTTGGAGATCACTGTGCTGTGTTTTTGTTTTTTTTCCTTAAAAGAGTTACAGAAAAACAATCCTACAAAACCCTGAAGCTATTGAACTGAATCTTGGCACATTTATGTCTTTGAAAGGATTCTTATGACGTTCACCCACCTCTGCCAAAATAATGAAGCAGCTACAGTTTTGATGCTCTCTCGTTATAGCCGAGGGACCAATTTTTTCCTCCAGCTGAATCTCAAAGCAGATCAGATCAAATCAGATTACTTTTGAATTTCAAACAGCAAACTCAAATCAAAGCATGTTCTTCTTTCAGTCTCAGGACCCCAGCTGAAATCAAATTAGCGCTGACTCATGTTTTCTTAGCATCTAAGGGATGGGAATGTCTTTTAACAGGACCACAGTCAAAGAAAAAAACGCAGTTCTTTTCCCTATACACTGCTCTTCCCAACAAAAATCTTCTTTAAATTCAAATTATTTATTTGAAAAATCCAGGAAGTAGGGAGAAAAAAACCAGATACAAGAATGTTTGACTTTCCCCCTGAAATGGACAATTACTATTTCTAGAGTGAAAAGAATCTGGGCAAAGATATAAGGAGAATGGACCTGGGCACATGTATGATTTCTTTCTCCTGCTGTTCCTCCCAAGAGAATACCCTCAACCTGTCCTTCACTAAAATAAAGGCATCAACCCTCAGAAGGGCTTGTCCTTACAACACTTGGAACACTGCATCCACTACAATCTAAAAAAGATGTTAAGACTCTATAAAGAGTGCAGAGAAGAGCAACAAAGTTGATTAGGTGGATGAAGGCTAAAACATATGAAGAACAGTTGCAGGATTTGAGTATGTCTACTCTAGTCTAATGAAGAGAAGGACTAGGGGTGACCTGATAGCAGTATTCCAGTATTTGAGGGGCTGCCACAAAGAAGAGGGAGTCAAGCTATTCTCCAAAGTACCTGAAGGCAGGACAAGAAGCAACAGATGGAAACTAACCAAGGAGAGAAGCAACCTGGAACTAAGGAGAAATTTACTAACAGTCAGAGCAACCAACGAATAGAATAGCTTGCCTCCAGACGTTGTGGATGCTCCATCACTGGAGGTTTTCAAGAAGAGCTTGGTTAGCCATTTGTCTGGAATTATGTCTCCTCCTTGAGCAGGGGCTTATACTAGAAGACCCCCAAGGTCCTTCCAATTCTGTTATAAACCATGACTGTGCTCCTCAGGGCTCGCCATGTGAGACTCCACACCAGGGGTAGGCCACCTTGGCTCTTTTATGACTCGTGGACTTCAACTCCCAGAATTCCTGAACCAGCCACGCTGAGGGGAAAGGGAGAGGTTTCCAAGCTGAGCCATGCTGGCTCAGGAATTCTGGGAGTTGAAGTCCACAAGTCATAAAAGAGCCAATGTTGAGGACCCCTGATATAGGGCAGGGGTGGGGAACCTTGGCTCTTTTATGACTCGTGGACTTCCTCCCAGAATTCCTGAACCAGCCACACTGAGAGGAAAGGGAGAGGTTTCCAAGCTGAGCCATACTGGCTCAGGAATTTTGGGAGTTGAAGTCCATGAGTCATAAAACAGCCACGGTTACCTACCCTTGCCCCAGACTTCTTTTTGGAAAGCCAGGAGAATGGGGGTCTGCCTCCCTTCTGAGGAGAGAATATTCCACAGCGTGTAGGAAAAGGAAGTGAAGGCTCTCTTCCTGGACTCCATTAATCAGAATTCATGGATTGGTGGGGTGTGCAACACACCTTCCCTTCCTGACGAGGTGGGACAGGCTGAGGTAACGGGAAGAATTTTCTGCTGGTGGAAAGATAGCTAGAGATCACAGCAGGGAAAAGCTCTCTGTCCCCCTTTCATACAGATAGTCCTCGGCTTACGATCGCAATTCAAGCCCAAAGTTTTGTTAAGAGTTTTGCTCCATTTCTTGGCACGGTTGTTAAGTGAATCACTGCACTGCATTGGCTTCCCTATTGACTTTGCTTGTCAGAAAGTCGCAAAAGGGATCACGTGACCCCGGGACACCACAACTGTCATAAACACCAGTCAGTTGCCAAGCATCTAAATTTA